TAATTTAAAAAAATATAGTAAAAAAAATATATTCGAATTCTTCATTCGAATGAAAAATATTATATTCCAATTTTTCTTTAAAGTTTAAACAATATGTCCGAATTCTTTTTCAAGCACAAAAATTTTAAAATATTAAATAGTGCATTCTTCATTAAAGTTTAAAAAATATTGCACTCGAATTCTTCAATAAAATTTTAAAACTAATATAGTCGAATTCTCTTATGTGTGTTTAATAATAACGTCGCGCATTTTTATTGAAATTGTTTTGTTTAAAATTTCAAAATCAAAATTAATTTCTTTCTAAAATCTAACTCGGCCGTCATAATCAACTAATCATAAAATCCAAATTTTTTTTTCAAACCAGTTTGTTTCTTTTTTTATAAATTTGTTTCACCTAAAAACTGCACACTGTGCTAAATGCTTTCAGCAAATCAAGATTACCAAGCCCCTACCATACGCAGACGCATTTTTTGCATTAGCCATATATATTTTTTTGTTTTAAAATTGTTTGTTTTTTATTTTTATGCATTTATTTCGTTTACTATTTATAATTTATGTTTTTTAATTACTTTTTACTTGAAGCAAATGACAATAGTTTAAAAAAAAACGATTTAAATTGTTGCTGTATTTTTAGTTTTTAATAATAAGAGTTTTTTTTTATTTATAATTAATTAATGAATAAAGATTTAATGTAAGAAATAGCAAGAATAATAATAGTAATAATATGCAATAAACATGTAAAAAATAATAAATCGTATTTGTATGTGTATTTTAATTAATTATATAATGTATATTTTTAATTAATTATAATCAATGCATGTGTTGGTGTTGTTGCTACAATTATATATTATATGTAAGTGTATGTGTGTGTATGCATGTTTGTGTATACGTAAATATAATATTTACATAAGAATTAAACAGTTTTATGTGCACATGTATGTCTAGTGTGTGTGTGCTTGTGTGTTACACGCTTGAAACGTTGAGTTCAGCGCTTGCGGCCGATATAAGCTGCACATTTAAAATTAAAAAATTACGAATTAAATATTACATTTATAATTATATTTATATAGAACATAGTTTTTTTTTTGCTTTTTTCTTTTTTTTGTTTTTTGCAATAAAAGTAGTTGTAATTTCATATTTAAATATATAAATCTTCGCCATATGCGCTGTAGCATACAAAAACCTTGCTTTCCGTCTTCCGTAATTATTTATTGATTTGTTTTTTGTTGTAACTAGTTAGTAGCTAACATATTTTTCTTTTACAAATTTAAATGAACAATAATTTGCAATGCAATTTAATTATTACTTTTTTATATAATTCAATACACTTTTTTTTACGCAATTATGTTTTTCTTCACTTTTTTGTTTGTTTTTGTTTTTCTTGCTTGAAAATGTTTATGAAAATTTATGCTAAACTAGTTTAAT